TTGTCCCAGGGGTATGGGAAGTAGGCTGGAAACTCTAGCCCAGAGCCCTGCTTTTCCGTAGGTGGACACTTAAGGGCTGTGTAACCCAAGATGTAGCCTACAAGGTCTCTGAAACTGAAGTAACAGCGACGCAGGTTGACTTTCCCTTGAATCATCTGCTCACTGGGATGAATCGAGCTGAGTATGACTCAGCATGTCTGATAAACAGATACCTCCATGAAGCTCCAGCTGTTTTCTCTATTACATCAGCTCTGTCCAGGACACACACCTGGAATTCCACTCAGGACTGAGCGCCAGGGAAAGGATGAACTTCTTTGTGTGTGCAGGAAAGGACTGCTTCCCGTGCAGGAGGCGGCAAGTCTGTTTTTTAGCTTCAAGAAACCACCTCCTTTAGAACAATTATATTTAAACCAATGTATTTTAGGCGAAAAAAATGCATGTGAAAATATACATCTAAGAGTTTCACAGAAACAATGCCTGAAATGTCACGACTTCTGGTTTATATCCACCAAATATAATTTTTCTAACAAACGCAGGAAGGAAACTCAGCTTCAGAATTTCCCAGGACCCAGAACACAGGATTTTCAAATAAAACTGTTTTAAAATCTTCTGACTGGGGAGAGGGAAAAACCATGCTTTCTTTCTCTCTGGGAAAATGTTGGAGCCTGCTCCTGCTTCAGAAAGAGTGTCACTCACCAACCCCACCGTCGCGGTGAGGCAGAGAGACTACATACACTAAAGGGCCTGGTTTGACTTTCACGAATCAACATCTGAGCGCTCCCCTGAAAGAAGCGTTTCCAGGGAAATCCGTCTCCTCCAACGTGCATTTGCTTTCCCCACCGCAAACTTTTCGTGGAAGTTCCTCGTCGGACACTTGAGAATCTTCCAGTTCACACTGAGCGATTGGTGTGGGTCCTTTGAAGTCCCAACGCATAGGGAGACCAGACCTTAACTCTGGGTCTACTCCCAATTTTGTCCCTGTCATGTCACTCTGGACAACTTGAGTGACCTCTGAATGTGACATCAGCCAGCATTCTATTTCCTAATTTCTCCCTGGCCGGTTGCATCCAAAGAGTTAAGATGCACTTGGCTGCAGCTGGAATTCAAATCTTCCGCCTCTAGGGTTGATCTCCACCTGATTCTCTATTAGTTTCCTTCCCTTGATGGCATTTGGTAACAGGTAAGAAGCTGCCCGTACTCAAAAATTGTAATTTGCAAGGTCTTCAAAGGTAGAACCAACTGGAATATCCGGTTTGCCCCCTGACTTCTATCACTCTGTGAAGGAACCTGTCTGCCAGAGCGAATCAAGGTCTCACGCTAGAGCTATCTCCTTTCTCAAAGCAGAAAGCGCCATACTCAGTGAGATGCAAATATCCAAGGAATCTTTCCTTTCCCTGCACGTCACATTTCCATTTTTACCATACTCTGCCCACAAGTGACACCTTGCCTTTGATGCACCAACAGCTCAAACAATGCGTGTGCAACAGATGTCTTGAATTCCAAGCCCTGTCTTCCCCTGATGGATGAATGCATTTTACATCCATCCGAAGACCTGACATCGTAACTGATAAGAGTTCCTGGTTTGATTTCTTCTTCTCCTTTTCATCCTCCTCCTCCTACCCTCCCTGTCCCTCCTCC